AAGCTGCCGTAGCTCTCTCAAAGCTCGAACAAACCGGTTAAACTGGTGGCGGAAGCCGAGATGCGTTCGCGGGTGCTCGTAATTAAAGAATTGAAGCAGTCGTGCATGATGGTTCCTCATATCGATGGCTGCTCTTTGACAGATGTCGACTGTGGCAGGGACGTCCGGGTTCGGAATTCTGGAGTCATTGAGCCCTTCCATGAAAGGTTTCGGTCCCTCCTCCAACAGTTCGAGGTACCTGTCTTTAAGCTTCCTAATTTCTTCTGCCAGATTACCAATTGTAGTCATCAGAATGGCTCGTGACTCGTGGTCAACAGTCCACTCTAAGCCCCCGGATAGGATACTACGCACAACGCTCGCAAAGTTTCCATTTCCTCCATCCCTGAGCGCGTTTTCATAGCCCTGATCCCCAGCAAATACTTCTCGTACGTATAGTTCATCGTCGGATCGCGGCTCTTCTCTCGGTGGTCGTCTGTTGCGGCCACGGGCAGCGCCAGGGGTGCCGCCTACTGGAGCATCGTTTCCTTCGTCCACGGGATCTTCGCTCTCGTTATTTGCTGGCTGAGGACTCGACCCTCGATTCGGTCTGCCGGCAGAATTATAATTCCCGTCAAAACTATCAGGCGGTGGCAGCTCAGGGTATTCAACATGGGTACATCTGCATACGTGGTGGTACTGGCCTTCGTACATGGGACAAGGATGACATTGTGAAAGGATTGGTTCTGGAGTAGGGGAGTGGTGAGGAGGTTGAGGAGGCTGGGGAGGCTGGGGAGGCCTTGGTGGATGGTTTTCTCGATTCGAGCTGTGTTGGCTGCTGTGTTCGCTCCCATTTTCATCGTAAACGCCCACATCGACAGGAAGCTCACCTAGGGCTGGTCTCGGCAAAGGTTGATCATGGGCCTGATTGTCGTCATCACTATCATCACCGTGCGGTGAATGTGCTGCTACCGGCGAAGTAGCGCTTGGAGCCAGAGTCTCCAGTCGGTAAGCATATATCGCTGCGTTATTATCAACAGGGATTCCTCCGAAAAGCGGACTCATCTTGCTAGCGGCTTGATTGGAGGCCATCTCACCTGCACTAAGGTAATGATGTGGCTCCTTGGTCGTATTTCCAGCGAGACCGATGCCTCTGTATCCCATAGATAGTTGCCACAAATGTACTGCCTTCTGGACATCGTATGTTGTTTGCTCCAACAGATATAGCATCGAATCGTCAGGGAGGTATTTACTGAGACCACCCCTTCCGCTCTCTAGCTCCCTCCTTATAATCTCCCTCTGTAAAGTCTCCACCATCATCTGTCGAAAGGCTAACGGATTGAAATGACATTTTCTCTTAGATGATGGCCCCAGGCGACTCGATTGAGGTCCTCCACCTCGAAGCTTGAGGTCTGGAGTTGCTGTCGGGACCTTGTGCACTCTTGCCTTTGGATCAATGGGAAGAGCCCGTTGGTTTAACGTAGATAATTTCTGCGAGCGGCGTGAAGGGAGAACGCTGACTTTCGGATGCTTGGCATCAGGTACAGGGCGTCTCTGTGGGAGCACTTGATGCATTACCAAACGAATCCATTCAAGTGGACCGAGGGTCTTTTTTGATACTGAAAGATCTGCAGGGTCGCGAGCATGACGGGGAGGTTGATTGATGAGATACTCGACTCGTGGCCCCTCAGAAATCATTCCAGGTTGACCCATCTCCCTGGAAATTTGCTCGTGTTGGACCAGTTCATGAGCACGCGTCTCTGGAAAGGGGTAGTAGACATAGTCAAATGCGCTTTTCATGTTGACTCCCTTGGGATATGGAAACAGACCTTTCGATGATTCTTCCGGTACAGCAGTTTCCAAGGACTCTCTCCCATCAATTTCAACGAAGGTTAACTGAGATCGTGCACTCAAAGGAAGATCCGAGTAGGTAGGTCGCCTTTCAACAGTGTCTCTCAATGCCGGTGAGGGGAGATCCAGTGCGAAGGTCTCCCATTCTGTATGGCCGACGTCATGCTGCCATCGCCTGATTTTGATCGGCCCACCAGTGATCTTGTTAAACCGTGCGACCGCGAAATGGATCTTGGAGAGAGTGCTTGTCTCAAATTTGCCTGTTTGAATGAATTCTTTCAAGGCTTCTTTGGTATGACTTTCCAAAGGCGCGTCTCGCGGTCGCTGGAGAGACTCATATTTGTTGCCCGGATCGACCTGACACTCGTCAATATATCGACAGTATTTCCCGACCATATCTTCAATGCTTCTTGGGTTAGCCGCGTCCGACGAGCTGATCAGACGCTCAAATTCACGATACACTCCAGGTATCTCAAAGAACTTGCGATCACGCTCTACGTTGGTCGGAGATTTCGGGGCTCCCCCTTGTTCAAAGGCAGTAAAGGCAGTCTTCAAGCCTCGCCAGATCAAAAGCCACAACTCCTTTTGCTCGGAATTGTAAGCCGCGTTCTGAAAAACTTGATGCAAGTGGGCGCAGTGTTCCAACAATTCCTTCGCGGCACCTGGTGGAACAAGCAGTTTGATGTTGTCGTGCGCAGAGTCTAGCAATACTAACAAGGCGTACTCCGAGGACACGGTACGTATTTCTGACACGAGAGAAGTAAATCTTGATTCTGGAAAGGTGGAGGGGTGGCGTTTCGCCTGAGATTCGACTTCAGAGAGCTTGCCGATGAGCGCGCGATGAATAGCCCTGGCCCAGATGGTGGCGAATGTTTCGTACCGTTTTCTGAACGTTCTGAGAGCGGCCCGGACCGTAGGAGAAGAGATTACCTCCTCGGGCAGTTCCATGATGTTCTGTAGGGAGGCGTTAATAAGTCTGATGTCTTGGAAGACTGTTGCTGATCCTTCGACGTGCTTCACATCGGTCCATTTCACCAAGTAGTCGATCATGTGTTGGACCATATTGTCGACTTCTTCCGGTGAGCTATCAACGTCGATCTCAGGTAGCTCGAGTGGCTCCGTGGAGTCACTCGAGGGTGGGATAAATCGATTTTGGTTCATCTGGCCATCTTCGAGCCCCTCAACGGCCGAACGCAACCGCCCAAGCTCGCTATGCGAATCGCGATTCCCTATCGCTGCCAATAGACGAATGTTTCCTCTCGAAATTGGGGATTGATGCGTGCTAGGAGAGGCATTGGGAGCGAAACCTTCCAGCTGCGTCGTAGTGCCCATTCTCTCCGACCGATGAGACGACTGGACAAATCTTGACTGCATATTGGAAGAAGGATGAGAGGGTCTCAAGGTCCTGGGTGCCTGGGGCCCGAGGTCATTGCGATACATCTTGGGAGCCATTTTCGTTTCAAGAGAGAAAAGCGAAACAGTAGAGGCGAAGGAATCAGAAGTGACATGAAGGAAATAAATCAAGACTTACCTTGAGTCTCTCTGAACACAAAGAGCATATTCTTTAGCCGGCCGGATGCATCAATGACGGTCGCAAGAACAGCATTCGGCAATTTATACGGACAGAAAGCGGCATTGTCGCATTTTCTTGACGGAAGCAGTTCAATATCTGGTTTCGGAATAGTGCACCAAAGAATATTTGTCTCCATAGCATAATAACCATGCTGCATTCCCATGGCTGGCAAGCAGGGTCCAGTGGTCCGTGCTTCAGGCCCCTTTCAGGCTTCAGCGAGGTACTTTGTGGAACTTTATGTTACTTGTCGAAGAGTGTGACCCCCTTGGTGGGTGGGAGGGGTGATGATGTTCCGCAAGGACCCGGTCACTCAGCTGACTGAGAATGGAAGAAGCCGTTGCGAAGCGTGCGTGAACAAGGTCTGAGTATTCCCCGAAAAAAGGCACTCCCATGTGCGCATAGTGACTTCTAGTGGTAAAGGGTTGTGTATTTTTAATGTAGACTGACCGAGATAATCCAAAGCTGCAGGTATGGAGGAGTCCAGCAGTCCTGGTGCAATCAGCAGTAAGGCGACTGTGCGCAGGTGCTCGTGAGACTCGTAGGGAGGAACCGCGACTGTTGAAGGCGGTCGCGTGTCAAGTGGCGTGTATAGTGCGTAGGAGGGCGTGAGTGGCAAAAGTGAAGATGGAGAATCATTTCCCGAAGAGAGTATGAAGAAAGAGGGACTGAATGATGGAAGATGATGCAGTGGATGGGCGATTGACCGATGATTGGAGCCCTGGATGGCAGATACAAGGGTGCTTGTGTTTGATGCCTCGATGCCTGGCAGCTTTACCCCACACTTTGTGACTCTCTGCCAAGGCCTAAGCAACGCAGTAGGTGCCGATCATTGGCGGTGGGTGCCGGGGCTCTGCTTAAGGGCACCGCTAGGGATTCCCAGGGACTAGCGACGCCCAATCTTAGGCGACTCCAGGCCCAGGAAAGCCGGCACAGCCTGGGGATGGGTCACTAAGCTAATGCAGCCCATGCCTCTGGGAGCCTGGGACCAAAGCCCTCTCACACTCACCTTCTTGCTGCTTCCGCGCCCCTAAGCCCACCGACCAACCAATTGGGCGTCTAGCTCGGAGCTGACTGCGTGTTTTCGACACCCGATGCAGTGCAGGAAAAGGAAACCGAGCTGGTGAATCTAGCATCTGAGCATCTGCTCCCAAACTGCAAGTGGTGTGTGATGTGTGTGTGTGTGTATGTGAGTCTGTGCATCTGGGCCTTTCCTCCTGCTACCTCTTATGTAAACCATCTTTTCCTCCCCCTTCACTTCGACTTGCTCTCCTCCTCTATTTCTCCCTTGCTCATCGTTCCCAATACCATCCTCACCCTCCCGCTTGCTATCCGAACTACAAAAGGGCTTCTCATCAAACTATCTGATCACCGCTACTGGTCATTGTTTTCTTCCCATCCCAACCCGAAATAGAAATCCCCCCGCTACAATGACGTGACTGGGGGCCATCTCCTTTGTCCTACTCATTGCTCGTCCTCGACCTTCACCTAACACTGTAAAGAATCCAGCTACAACCGGCCCCATACGAGATACGATCTTCGTTCCTTGAATTCCGCGTTCTTCAACGCGGCTACACACCCACCTATAAGTCAGCTCGCCGTCATGTCTGAACGCAACCCTGCACCACCGTCTCCTCCCCTTCCACAGCACCGCCGTCGCTCGTCCTTTGTCGATATGTTCAACCCACGAACAAACTCCTCTCCCTCTTCTCTGTCCTCCTCCCCTCCCTCCCCGGGTGTTCCGTCCTCTCCCACCGTTCCACAGCACCGAAGAGGCACCTCGATCACTGCTCTTGGCCTGACCACGAACCCCTCCAACCACACCCCCTTTGCCGCTTTCGGACTGCAACGACGAGCGAGTGTCGCCACCTCGTCCATGTCAAGCTCCCCAGATTTCAAAAACAGTTTCGGAGACGAGCCTGCTGTTCTTGAAGAGGATGACCCCTCGCGGGCCACGGTACACCCTCCATCCTCGCCATCCTTTGCTAGACGGGTCAGTTTCGGCGCACAAGCTTTAAGAGATGTTAGACTAGGAGGGAGCCCTGGTGCTGCTGGCGGTGGTAGGCGCCCCTCCTCCTCCCTTTTCACTCTAAATGAGAAGTTCGAAAATGCCATTCCATCACGTCGAGCTACGTCGGGGACGGCCAAGACTGCAGGTAAGAGTCGAGGCCTGTCCCTTTCATACCGTCCAAGTGTTCTTGCCCTCCATTTCTAGCCCCAACTTGCAAAGCCAAGTCATTTGTCTCTTACTGATGTCCAACAGGAGAAGGCTTCAATTGGTCCGAAGCCCTACGGGATAGATCGAAACGTTCCCCATCCTTCTCCTCGGGCAATCCCTTTAGCCAAGGCGCGACTCGTCCTCGCTCCGCAAGCATTTCCAATCCCGAACCGCCAAAAGAAATCTCAAAGCCCGTCGAGCCGCCGCCTGCCAGGTTGATGAAGAAACCAGATGCCCTTGGCGAAAGAATGCTCCGGGGCGACTTTATGATGGATTGATCCTCGTGCGATGCCGGGATCCTTTTCTTTCCCTTTCGGTATACTCCCAGAATGGATATGTATGTCTTATTCGAATGATGTATAAGTGATACTTTGGTTTGATGGGACCTGAGGACATCTTTCAAAAAATGGAAAACCTTTACCTGTATCCATTAGCTTTCGGTAGTGTCGTCTATCGGCGGGGTTTCGAATCTCATCCGAAGCGAATCAGGTCGGCGGGGTCAGCATCAAGGAGACAGGGGAAAGGCGAAGGCGACAGAGGTTTGCTTCTTCACGATCGTTTTATGACGTTTCGTCTTCGCACTGGCACGGGAGCAGGAGGAGCTTCAGGATTTGGAGGCGAATCCCAGCATTTTGACTGTGGAGGGACCACGTATGCTTGACGTTACAGCAGCTCGGATATTGACAGACTGAGAATGAAACAAGCAATGCGATGAATGAACAATTTGAATTTGTGGTGAAATTAACTCTCGCGTCCTGTCTTTTACTGCGCTTATCCTGTCTCCAGGGCTCTTCCACCCGCCTCCTGATCGCCCTGACTCTTGGAAGTAACGCTCGAAGTGTATCCCCAAAATGGAAGCGGAGAATTGTAATTCCGAAGCCGCCATCATCCCCTCTCCGCCCTGCGACAACTTACAAAGGACGAAGGTGGGTAGGGTCTTGACTCTTGACAGTAAGGACTGCATTCTGTTCTCCATTATTCAAATCTTTTGCCGCCATAAAAGGGCTCGGGCCCATCCCAACACTGTCCCATACATAAGATTTCCTAAACACAATCTGTGAGGGTGTAGTTGGAGAATCAGCATTGCACAACACTAAACGGCAATTGGCATCTCTGCGGGAGTTTAATTGTTGCACTGCATCCATTTAGTCCGGTATTATCATATAAAAAAGGTATATCAATGTACATAACCTGGTAGAAAAATAGCTGCCTGTTTGTCCTCAAGCAAGAGTCCAAAGTTGATGGTCCGTTCTAGAATCGACATCCAGCCCGCACTCAGACAAGACCTCAAACCGCTGCAAGGATCCCTCTGTCAGATAACCCCAACACTCTGCTACTATATTCTACATCGCCTTCTTGATATCCGAAATTTCAGCTATGTTGCCAACTACAACAGTTGCAGAATATTTGTTTACACGTTTAAAGCAACTCGGTGTCGGCGCGGTCCACGGCGTGAGTCCTCCGCTCTTCGAGAGGCTTCTTCTCTTCTGCGAAGCTGTTGCTGTCTTCGTCGGTATCGACTAATAGAGACTGAGTAGATTCCAGGAGACTACAATCTTCGTTTATTGGACTATGTTGTCCCTTCCGGGCTCCTCTGGGTGGGCAACACCAACGAACTTAACGCAGGATATGCCGCAGATGGTTATGCGCGAATCAATGGCCTCGGGGCTCTGATTACCACGTACGGAGTCGGCGAGCTATCAGCCATTAATGCTATTGCCTGCGCATTCACCGAACGAGCCCCAGTCGTACATATCGTGGGCACGCCTCCTCGAAACACCCAATCATCGCGGCTGATGGTGCACCATACCCTCGGGGATGGAGACTATCGACACTTCGGCCAGATGCAATCGCACGTTACCGTCGCGCAGACTAATTTGCTTGATCCTCGTACTGCTCCCCAGCAGATCGATCAAGCTCTGCAGCAATGCATGATACATTGCAGACCAGTCTACATCGAAGTCCCTCTGGACATTGTTTCAGCCCCGGTTGTCGCAGAACATCTTATTCACAAAATCGCCGTTCCCAGAGACGTCCCTAACCCTGCTTACGACGTGGTATTGGACAGCGTTCTCGAGAGGATGTACACTGCGGAAAAGCCTGTTATCCTAGTGGACGGAGAGACAAGAGCACTGGGCATCTTGGACCACGTCGAAAAAATGGTATCATCAACGGTATGGCCTACGTTCACGACAACCTCCGGCAAAGGCCTCATAAATGAAACACTCGTCAATGTCCATGGTATGTACCGCGGCAGCTTCGCAGACGCGAGCACCAAGGCTTTCATTGATGGCTCCGATCTAGCCATGTATTTTGGTCCTCACCTCAGCTCCACCAATACTTACAATTGGACTGGCGTGCCCCAAACAGCTGCCGCCATCTGCTTTAGTTGGGATGGTATCAAGATTGGTGACGTGCTCCATCGCGACATTTCGCCACAATACGCTCTCAGCCAGATCCTGCAGAAACTAGACTTGAAGAGACTAAAGAAAAGTGGCAGCCGTCCAACTTTCCCTCGTGGCCAGCTTTTGTCCTTCTCAGAAGTTTCCCGTGACGATTCTATCAAGCAAGACAAAGTTTGGCGTCTTCTCAATTCCTTCTTGCGGCCTGGAGATATTGTCTTTGGCGAAACCGGGACCGCTGGATATGGCGTTCGAGAGATGCTCTTGCCCGAGCATACAAGACTCTTTACCCCCATTACTTGGCTTTCTATCGGATACATGCTCCCCGCTTCTCAGGGCGCGGCATTAGCCCAGCGCGAACTGATGGCTTCGTCGAAGTATCACGACATCAAGGGCGCTCGAACCATTCTATTCATCGGTGACGGCAGCTTCCAGATGACCGCCCAGGAGCTCGCGACGATCATTAGACACGATCTCAACGTGGTGGTGTTCTTGATTAATAACGATGGTTATACGATAGAGCGCTGTATTCATGGCATGAAAAAAGGGTATAATGATATCTCCACCTGGCGCTATCTGAAAGCACCCAGCTTTTTCGGTGCACCAGAAGATGCCTTCACTGCGTCCGCCAGGACGTATGGCGAGCTTGAGCAGGTCCTCAAACAGGAGAAGCTTGTGAATGGGACGGGAGTCAGGATGGTGGAAATTTATATGGACCGGTATGATGCGCCGGCTGGCCCGCTGGCCATGTTGCTCAACCGGCAGAAAGAAGGAAAGGATGTTGATCTGTGAGAAAAGACAAAATAGACAACAAGCGAGTTCGGCTGAGTCGGTTGCTATTATTTGATATCGCCAAGAGGCGGCAGGGGATGGAGCGAAGCACGGAAGCTCGGGGCAACAACGGCGGCCGCAGATGGAAGTGGAAGGGCAGCCCGACTGCGGCGTCATCAAGTCCAAGTGGCTTGAACGCCATATCCTGCCTGCTACACCATCACACGGGATTTAAATTTAATGGCGCCATGGTGATAGGGCCATGATAGATACACCAGAAACCCGTCATTTGACTCCTCTATCCGGCCTCGTCCTCCCTCCAAGTGTTTCCTCTACCTGTGCATCGTTTCAGTGACAATCGTCGTGGAACAACCCAGCCAGCTTTTTAACTGCCACTACGACTGCGCCAGCCATCACAGCAACAACCAACGCAGTCTGATTTTGGGAAGCCGGCGCTGTTTGTGGCTGTGTAATCCTGCTCTGCCACCTTGTGCATTATGTCCTTGTGAAAACATGGCTACCTCTCTAGCATAATTCTTCTCCCGACCTGACTTCGCCTGCTCCTGAGTTCACAGGCCTGAAGCGGACGCCTCGGAAACTGCCCTCACCTTGGACCAACTCAAGCATCATCCATCCCTCTCGAGAGAGCTTGAACACCACCCGGCCCGACAAGTCACAATGGAGAAGATTGTAAAAGGCGCCACAAAAATCAAGGTCAGGATGGCGCGCAGACCGCTTGATCAGAGCTGACGGCGTGTTAGTTGGCTGCGCCCAAGTCCAAGTACATCGAGCCCATACTGTCTGCCACGAATGGCGGAGAATCAGGTGTCGCCGAAGTCTTCCGTACTCTACAACTTCGTCTGAGAGACTCGACATGGACGATTGTCTTCAAGGCGTTAATCGTGGTCCATCTCATGATAAGAGAAGGTCAGCCCGAGGTTACTTTGAGGTACATATCCGAATCGCCCAAGAGGTTGGCAATCAGCAGCTTCACAGAAGGTACGCAGAATGGGACAAACCGCGGTCGAAAGGTTGTATGCACTGTCTGACAGGAGAACAGTTCAAACTCAAGGTCTTAATATCCGAAGGTACTCGGAATACTTATTGGAGCGAGTGCGAGCCTTCCGTGATACCAAGACAGACTTCGTCAAGTCAGGAGCTGGGAAGATGCGCAGACTGACGGTGGAAAAAGGGCTGTTGAGGCAAACCGAGATTGTGCAGGATCAAATAGAGGCGTTGGTGCGATGTGATGTGAGTTGTATCGAGAGACACCGGCTTGGATCTCGACTTACTCTTGCAGTTGCTGGGCACCCATGATCCGGATAACGAAATTTCACTGACGGCTTTTCGTCTTTTGACGCTGGACTTGCTGGAGCTCTTCAAGGTAATGAACGAGGGCACTATCAATGTTCTAGGTAGGCGAAGCGGATCAAATGGAGGCGGCTCTGGCTCATTCAGACATAGAACATTACTTCGAAATGTCCCGTCCTGACGCTGAGCGGGCACTGCAAATTTACAAGACTTTTGGCAGGCAGACGGAAATGGTGGTGCAATATCTCAGCCTTGCCAGACAGTATGAAATGTCGACTCGCCTGGAGGTACCGAGATTGAAGCACGCACCAACAACCCTGACCAATGCTCTGGAAGAATATCTCAATGATCCGGACTTTGAACTCAATCGAAGACAATATCTGGCGCAGCAAGAAGCGAAAAGGACCGGGAAGCCAGTTTCTGCCGCTCCAGCATCCAATCCCTTCGACAAGCCGGCAACAAAAGAAGTCGCCGCGGCATCATCTGCAGCCAAACCGCAACCCTTGCAGTCACCGCCTAAAGGCCCAGCACCGGACCTGATTGACTTCTTTGAGTCCATTGAGCAGAACCAGCAGACGATGGGTCAAGCCAACTTCAACCCGCAGCCTCAATTTCAGCAAGGAACACCCCAAGCCCAGTCCTATCAGCAAGCACCTGTGCCTCAACAGATGGGATACAATCCATTTCTGCAGCAACAGCAGACGTTCCAAAGTCAGACCCTGCCGCAGGCTCAGACTCAACCTCTGCAAACAGATTTCACAGGTGCAGGGTTCGGTGGATATGGAGCTCAGCCACAGCAGCAGGTACAGCCAGCAGGGGGGTTCCAGTTTTCGACACAGCTGTCACCGATCCCTCAGAACGGCGTGGCGAACTTCCCGTCACAATCGTTTCCGTCGGCTCAGCTGTCTCCCATACAACCACAGCCAACATCCACCAATCCGTTCCGGCAGTCCACGATGAATACCGGAAGCACTCAATTTTCCCCGGTCAGCCCTCCTGCTCCGGTCCGGTCGTCGACCAATCCATTTGCGAAGCACAACACTGGCGCCATTCCCCACAACGACCACACGGCAGGGACCATGCACGACCAGACAACCCTCTCTCCAGTCTCACCAGAGCAACCTTTTCCTTCGAACCCATCCTTCCTCTCGTCTCCGTCGCCTCTCCAACCTCAAAGAACAGGTACGAATCCGTTCGCGAAGAACCGGCCGACGACGTCTGGAGGCCCCGTGACAACAAACGTGACGGGAAGCACCAATCCATTCCGACAAAGCGCCTTTGTCAATCAACAGACGGGGCAGGGCTGGCAGCATAGCAACCAGGGCACTCTGTTGGGATTTGACGTGAATAATGTAGACACGGTGCCAGTATTTCCAAGGCCCGGACACGGTTAAAGCTGATAGCGTGGTAATGTAATGTCCCTTTTGCGCGTTCTGGACGATGGGAATGAAATGTACTCTTAGTCATCGTGGCGGACTTGGTTTCCGTGGCTCTTTGTTCCGCTTTGCAAGTGCCACCGTCATTTGACATTAGAAGTCGAATTTCCATCGAGATTTGAGATCGTCCGACCCCAAATTCCGCCACCCGCTCCATGTCACAGCTGCACAGCTCTTCTTACGCCGTCTTGCGCCGTCACCCTATTATCTCGAGGCAGAGAGTCGACGCCGGACAAAATATAGATCGTCATACGTGGTTGTATCTGCCTCTGACAATGAATTTGTGGGAGATGAATCCCTTCGGCCGCTTACCAAGTCATCCTGCGGCATGATGCAGTGCGCTTCACTCGGCTGGATCGCTTGACTCTTGCTCGACTCAAGTGACCACGGTATTCTCTTCTCAGTTCTCACATCGCAGGAACGGCCGCCACCGTAAGTCGCACCTGCTCATCTGGATCCACCAGAGCCTCCTTCAAAATGCCCGTGCCTCGTCTCCCAATTACTGCTGATCGACGTTAGAAGATGGACGAAGGCACCGGAGATGACATTCCGACGCTCTCCATCATCCCCTACGACAACAACCGCGAGATCGTGCTGTAAGTGAGACACCACACCAAGGAAAGGAAACAATCACGTCGGACCCAGTCCCGAACTGATGAGACCAGCCGCCACGCAGACACGATTGTTTACCGTGATCCGAGAACCAACCAACTAGTTCCCTTCCATCGAAACCAGGATGTAGAACGACGCTCCTCCGACTGTCCGACGTGCGGTCGCCCGTGGCATAGACAAGGATCCTCAAGCACCCAAGATCCTGGATCAAGCCCAATGGAAGATCAGCCGAGTTTCATCACAGAGGGCTATTTTGAAATGCTCGCCCGAAGTCTTCCTGGTTCAAACGAAACATCTGCACCACCTTCCCCGAGACGCCGAATCGCCCAACCCGTCCGCTCTCGGCTTCATCCTTCCTCGGCCACTGTGTCGCCGCCTCCAAATGCAGAGTTTATTGCCAGCGCTCCGGTGCCTGCTAGTCAAGCCCACGGGATCTCGGAGACGGCCTTTTCCCCAAACTACTTCGAGAAGTTCTTTGTCGAAGAAAGAGAGCTCGGAAGAGGTGGCCGAGGCGTTGTTCTGTTGGTCAAACATGTCCTCGACGGCGTTACCCTCGGTCATTTTGCTTGCAAACGTGTTCCCATTGGAGATGACCATGCCTGGTTGGAGAAGGTCCTTGTCGAGGTCCAGCTTCTGCAGACTTTGTCCCACCAAAACCTAGTCTCCTACCGGCACGTTTGGTTGGAGGACTTCCAAATCAGCACATTTGGCCCAAGCGTCCCCTGCGCATTCATTCTGCAGCAATACTGCAATGGAGGAGACATGCAGAATTACGTCCTAGGCTCGGCGCAAGCATCCACGACGACTCAAGAACTAAAAGAACGGATTCGTCGGAAGTCAAAGGGGGAGTCAGACCTGCCTCGGCGGCCAAATGAACCCAAAAAGTTGCATTTCGACGAGATTTACAACTTTTTCAAAGACATCACATCCGGATTGAGGCATCTTCATCACGCCGGCTTCATCCATCGAGACCTGAAACCCAGCAATTGCCTCTTACACACTGTCGGCGGTGAGACCCGAGTCCTAGTCAGCGACTTTGGCGAAGTCCAGTACGAATATGCTACTCGAAAATCCACCGGCGCTACCGGGACGATATCGTATTGTGCACCTGAAGTGCTCCGACGCATCTCTCCAGGTGGACCATTTGAGAACTTTACGTCAAAGTCCGACATCTTCTCACTGGGCATGATTCTACATTTTCTTTGCTTTGCAAACCTTCCCTACAATTCCGCAAACGTCCTTCACGAAGAGCGTGAAGACATAGATGAACTGAGAGCAGAAATTACTAGCTGGGGAGGATTTGACGATCAGCGCAAGTTACGCCCAGAACTACCGCCTGCACTCTACTCTTTTCTCAAGCGACTTCTGTCCTTGAACCCAGATGAACGGCCGAGCGCAGACGATGTCCTTCAGGTCGTCTCTTCTGGTAGACTTGATGATATTCCTGCCGCACGGAGGCGGAACTCAATGGAACCAGAGGAATTAACTCCAGGCCGACGGATCCAGAAGTTGGATACACCACAAAAAGGGAACTCCCCCCAGGGAAGACCAAATCGCGATGTCCCTTCTAGACCAAAGCGATCATTCTTTCGATCCCCGAGATCGGTGTCTCAGGAGCCGAGAGGATCCGAAGCGGTAATCAGCGACCATGGGTACACAAGCGGCAGCGAGGCAGACCGGGAGCAACTCGCACGCAAAACGTCCGCGTCGACACGGCGCGAGTCTGCAAACCTCAAGCTTAATAGCACTATGATCCTCCGGGCAAAGCATGCCTCATCGTCCCTTCCATCTTCCCCTTTACCAAAATCCCCTACACCATCACCGGTCCGGCAACAGCTCCTCCTTGAACCGGCACAACAGCTTGATCGGCCGGCGTTATCCCTATTGCTCTATCGATTCTATAGTTTCGCCGACGCACCCATTACCTCCCCCTCTACCCGCCTCGCCATACTCGGAGTAAAACTATTCACCACTCTCCAACCCTGCCTATCACAAGGCATGAATGCGATAGTCGTCTATCCTATCATCGCCATCGCATTTCTAGAGTTTTCATTGACGCATTTGCGGATATGGAAAGCCGGGGTAGCTATGCTGGCTCATTTCTTTGTGCTTGCCATAGCGTGGAGAACGGATAGGTTGTGTTGGACTTCCAATGGCTGGTGGATCCATTGGGATGGCGAATGAGAATTTTTGCGAGCGTAAACTGCAAAGAACGGGAAAAGCATGCTTTGATCCGACTAGGGCGGCCCCATTTGCTTGGTCTGAGGAACCTCCGCTGTGTTTTCTTCGGTGTTAAAAGTTTTCTATCTCAACTTTAATTGTACCTCTGCGGGTCTGGCCGTCGACCCCATCAGCACCCCCAACCCGCCCGCCCGCCCGCGTCAATCTTCAATTTATACAGGGATGACCACTCCGAGGGCGTGGGATGCCCCTTTTCTTCGTCTTTCGCTGGCAGCTGTCAATCGTTGCAGGAATGGGGGAGCGGGAACGGATCATGTCAACACTACCAAGTCTCTGCTCCAAGGCAGGCACATTGACATAGGGCCTGTCCGTGATTTGTACTGGCCCCTTCTTACCGCGTCAAGCAATCTCAGAGCGGTGTTGCCGCTAACTCGGATAAAATAATAATTTACACCTTTGGCAACTGCCAAGGCTATATGAAATATGTTTGCCGCAGGGCCGTGAAGCCTCTTCTGGGAGCACTGGGTCTCCCTTCGTGTCCTCACCATACTTCCAACAGTGGCTGGCTGGGCTTTTAGTTCCGGAGCGACGGACCGAAGTCGACCATGAAGATGGAAGGCAGCTTGCTTTGAAAGCAGCTCGTCCTTCGACAATTCGTCCCCTGGCAACAGTTACGTGTCTATGTACAATACGCGTATGCGCGGCTGAAAATGGCAGGGTACTCCATATTTTACATCGGCGCTGAATGGTTGATTCCCTTTGCAAACAGAATGTAGCGAAATAGGATGCTGGACCACCATGTGGAGGCACTTCTTTCTTGCCCCTACAAAGCTTGAGTCCCCGGACCATGCGAACCCCGGACCGGGATGGACTGTGGCACAACAGGCCTGCAAACACAGACACAATTGGAAGCGGCTAGGCCGTGAAGAGAGTCTGTACGGAGTAGATGAACATCAAGCCATCAAAAGCGTGACAATTGGTAACCAGAATAAATAGATTCTAAAGTCGGATAGGGTCAATCCTTCTCAAGATTCATAGTCCGGGATGCATATCCCGGTGGCTGCTTCCCCTGTCCGGGCTCCTAATTGACATTGAGACTTCGGAACTTAAAGCCCTGTAATGTTCCATGTGGGCGCCTGAAGGGACTCTAGAGACCAGTGAGAATTTTGAAGTTGGGCGGCTTTTTTGGGGGGGGGGGGGGGGGAAGAATCCTATGTACGAGCACAGCCTTGGGGATAAGGCTTGGCGGGAATAGGGGCTACTGGGGGAGTACCTCGTACGGAGTTGGAATTCCAACTTGACAGCCTAGATGACACCCATGATCGCAGCAAACAACAATATTAGCGCTACCGGTAAGCGGAATCCAAGAACACTGTTACTATGTGTGCTCTAATCCAATGATTGACAAACACCAGGATTCAGGAAGCCCCTGATACAGTGGAATCCAGGATGCTGGTTTCCGATTGGGCCTGCCCATGGTGTCTTCGAGGTTCGACGTTGTCAGGATTTCGGCCCAACAACAGCGGATCCCCGGGCATTAACTGTTCTGCCATCAGCAGAAGAGGCCTGCACATTTATCCAGCTTCGATCTTTTTTTTCCCCCTCCAGCTTCTCAATGCATTATATCGGGACGGCGAGCTCAGTTTCAGGACCAACAGTGTCCTCAAAGGCGGTGAGTGCTTCCCACGGAGTCACGGTGGATTCATCTGCTTCATCCGAAATCAACGAACGGCGCTTTGACTTGGACAACGACGACGATGACGCTGGTTGAGTGTGGAGAAGCTTGATTTTCGACTTATGGAACCAGAATGATGGCGGTCACGGAGGCTCTTTCTCTACGCGCTCAATCACCTAGTCGGCTTCCCGAATTGGACTATGTCGGGGCTGAAGAGCTGCGGAAGTGCGAAGGCGAATGGTTAGAAGATAATCAGCCATAGCCACCCTGAAATCAAAGTCCCTGGGGTGGAAGGCACCACGGGGTTGTTATACCCGACCATGTCTTACAGGTGGTGATGTGGTGAGATGTGTTTCGCTCTTGGTAGGAGAAATCTGGGAAAAGATGGATATTCTTCTCGGCTGGGCTAGTCTGTTTGCTGGGTGGGTGGCAAGACTGGGTACATGTTACTCTTCCCCGGGCGTTTTGGGGGGGGGGGGTGAGGTCCCTATACTATCTCAGACAATATGGTATCATAACTCAAAGGTGCCGACCATCTACAGGATTCCATGCTTTGCCCGTTCCCGGCAGCGCTTGTGTCCAGAATACATTCTTCTGGCCCTAATCTTCGAACTCTGGCCTGTTGACCCCGATGTATCTCTACTTTCTCATCGTAAATAAACACACTGAAACTGAGCGATAGCCCAACTCCAAAAACCTCTTCAACCTTGCTGGTTCATATGACTCGGGAGATTCCAGTCGGCATAGTCGGCATGCACAAACGCGCGATCCACAGCCGGCACGCTCTCTAGCACATACTGCAGACTCTCGCTCAAATCATGACTGTCTCTCAAGCTCATATTCTCATCAAGAACAATATCAACCTCCACATTGAGCTTGTCGCCCGTATGATAGGCTTGCAGCCCCTGGATGTAGCGGATGGGTTTGGCAAAGCGCATTGCGAGATAGAGCAAAACGTTGCGCTGGTCCGCCGTGGCCGAAACGCCGCACAGATTACGGACGTGCTCGACACTGGTTCTGGTCCAGTTGAAGATGACGTAAAAGGACAAGAGCAGACCGCCCAACGCGTCCAACCACCAGATCTGGAAATAAAAGCCGACGAGAGGGAAAATGATGGAAAAGGTGTTGAAGACCACGTCGGTGGCAGCATCTTGAGCGAGGGCCTGCACAGAGCTGTTTTTCACCAGCCGGCACCAGAACCAACAGAAACCCTTGATGGCGACCGTGCCCAGCATAATTGCGATGGCGGGAATACCCAATTCCACAACTCTATGGTCTCCTGAAATCAGGCGGTTGAAACATTCCAGGGCGACTTGGAAGAACGACGTGATCATGATGACGCTGAAAACGAGGACTCCGACGGGCTCCAGTCGTCGTCGGCCGATTGGATAAGCGTACTGATCTTGTCGCGAGATGAGTTTCGTGGTGGTCCAGACGATGGCGGTAGAGAGAAAATCCAACGCCGCGTCGACAAGTGACGCGAGCACAGAGAGCGATGAAGTCAAGACAATCACGGCGATTTTGCCGGCGAGCAAGATGATGTTGGCTGCAAGGTTTATGTAGATTGCCAAGGTTACGATCCGATCGTCCGAGTCCACGCCCTCGTCGATATCCTCAAAGCTGATTTCCGGAAAACCTGCCTCAGAGGTCACTTCGGTGCCGTCTTGTAACAGGGGCGTGTCTTCGCTGGGAAGCTTGTACAAGTTTTTCGGGGTTCGTTTCAACTTGGTCTCCGTGGGCGAATTAGTGGCATTTGGTGCAGCCGCAGGAGTGATGTTGCCAGAGGGTGGCTCTTCACAAATGGTGTTCATATGGCCGTTGGATCGCGGTTGGCCATATTCTTGAATAAGATTATGTGGGAGCGACGAATCCAACAGCTTGTCGATATAGAGATACTGCGTGACCAGAAAGTTATTCCGCTCGTAGTATTTCCGGATAGGTCTCCTCATCTCCTTCAGCTCTTCCTCGGTCTTGAAGTACTGGTGCCAGTGATATCTCGGGTTGCTCTGCCCGATCAGCCGCATACTGCGCACCTGCGGTGTCATGAGAATCTCGGGACCCAGACTCATTCGGCGAGGGTCTATTTCCGAGGGCGTGCTGGGGCGCCACCTGCCCCCGGCGAATGAGTCAAAGTAGTCTTCGGGAGGACCATGCTCCTCATCGTCGCTGGATCGGTGGCTCGCGACGGAGCCCCTCCGTGTTGGTGGTCGGCGCTGGAGAGTAAACAGCGACGTGGTTGACCGGTTCTGGATCAGACTCGGGAGACGTTGGCCGCGCGTCGACACTGCACTGGGCTCTTCGCTGAGCGGGATGAAGTTGGACAGGGCACCGAGTTGATAGTGAGGGCGTCGGGGAGTGCTCGAGACCTCCATAGGGGCTGAGAGCAGCGGTCTTTGGTGTCAGGCTGAGGGAGGAGGACGAGCAGAGAGCTGGCGAGGCTAACAAGATCACCCGAACCCGTTGAGATGAGACATGTTGGCAACCCTGGAAATGTAGACGGACGCAGCTGAGCTTTTCACGCAGCTTTTCACGCGGGGAAGGGAAAATACGAGTCTAGTTGCTGGAAACCAGGATGTGCAAAGAAAGATACGTCAGCCAGCCAGTCAGATCCGCCGCCACCAGTTCATGCAGCCTACCAAGTAGTAACACATGCGCCAAACATGTGCTCGCCCCTGAGATCACTAGGTACATGACACGGCTTCAGGAAGTCGTCTATTACTCCTCAAAGCAACCGCCGTCATTACAGGTTAGATCGAGATCCTCTGGCCTCGGCCACAAATCTATGTATGTCCAAATGACCACTGCACTCTGCTAGCGCCCGACGGACTCGGATTATTCCATGTCGTTTTGCGCACAACTCTCGGCCCCCAGACCGTTCCAAATATCTTTTGTCGTAAATCTTTTGACGGCGGAGATCATCAACGCCGTCCAAGTCAATGAGATCCTGGCACATACACATATATACACTAACATCCAGGTTACATCCAAACAAGATAGATTCCAGTCAGCACCACCGAACCAATTGACGTTAACATCATCGTAGAGAGCCCCGCAACACCATTCGTGGTGCTCGCACGGGCGCTGCCGCCGGTTCGTGACGCCGTGTTTGACTGGGCAGAACTATCTGAAAGACTCGACGATGTAGAGGACGACGAGCTATCAGAAGCAGAGGTCGGAGCCGGCGCATTTGTGCCGACCGGAGTTGTAACAGGACTAGCATCGGGGCTGCTGGCAGCAAGTTTGGCGCATGCACTGGGGTTGGCCCTTCGTTGGCCAACCGGAGATCCAATATTGGCAATAACAGCTTGGGAGTCTCGAACGACGATGC